CACAATCTTCTGTGGTACATTTATTTCAAAAATAATTTTTTTCTTTAAAATAAACAAGTTTCACTTGTTTTGATTCAATGTACTTGTGTTTGTGTACATGCTTATATGTATGCATATAGATACATACGCATATACACTCTCTCTCTCTCTCTATATATATATATATATATATATATATATATATATATATAATGTATGAATATCCATTGAAAGGGTAAGTAAGTATATTATTGGGAAAATATACTCATTAAAAATGTTGTTGGATACAAATTTGCTCTTTTTTCTTTCTTTCTCTGTCTCCTGCCATGTTGTATAAAATGAAAGAAAAAATTATTCACTGGCCATAATTTTGACCATAATTTGTTTAATAAACACAAAAAAATGTACGAAGTGTATCTCCCGAAAAAAAAAAATGACAGGTAAAAAGGAAGAAAAAGAAGAAGAAATTAAAAACATGATTTGCTGGTTACAGTAATTTTCACCCACTTTGGCTTAAAGAATTTTTTTATGAGCTAATACTTAACATGTAAAACAGTTTTAGCCATTGAATATGAATGTAGTTTTTCTGTTGGGTGTATTTTTCTTATTCATTATTTGATTTTTTTATAGTACATTTTATTTTATATATAATTATTTTTACCATTTTCTTCCAAACATGGTTATATTCATTATACATTGCTTAATTTGACTGTAAATGTATGTGTTTTTGTCAGTTTTTTCTTCCTTTTGTCTTTTTTGCCCTTACTCTCTTTTGTCAATGAAACAGACCAATTGAACAATAAATAATGTTTTATCAGATCCTAAAAATGCCAAGAAATTCCAATTAAATTTTTTCTTTAAATACAGCATTTATTATTATTATTATTATTACATTTTATTTTATTTTTTTGTTATACATTACACTTCTGTGCTGAATTTTGCACAGTAACTAAATCTTAATATCTTAGTTACTTGACATGAAGATATTTCTAAGAAAGTGAGCAAACTCTGAATACTTAGGGTTTCTCATCTATATGGTTTACTTGGGATCTTCACAAGTCAAATCCAATGTTCCAAGGACAATTAATACAGTTCTTATCACTATGTTTCATATTTGCTGGATCTTGATCCCTTGATCCCAATACAATCTTTGCTGCTTCTTTTTTGAAGAGATTTCCATCATCTGTTGTAGACTATATTATCTGTACAGTTGGATACAGTATCCCAAAATAACACATTATTATCATTATTATCATTATTATTATTATTATTATTATTGCAATCTTATTTATACCTTAAATTTATTTTGTTTCACTTTATACACTTTTAAAAAGTGTATTATCTTAAGGTTTGCTGGAAATTAAAACATTTCATTTTTTCATTGTTTATTTTTTTTAATTTTATGTCAATGAAAATCCACTTATAATGAAAATAATAATAAAAATATAATTTGGTATATTGGCATTTGCTTAATACTACTTGGTATTTAGTTATAAAATACCTTGTGAAATTGGATTCAGCATACTTGAACCTTCGTGCTTACAAAAAACGTAGTGGCAAAAGGATGTTTTTTTCCTTGACACTGCTATTATTTTAACTACCTTCACTCCTCAGCAATGTTTGTTTTAAAAGGTGATTATTAGAATTATAATAAAACTTAAATATACAATGAAAGTGAATTCGTAAATTTTTTGTTCTTGGGAATTTGCAACAAAAATATTAAACACTATTTATTTATTAGATTGTTTATTTACAAGAATAATTTTAGGATTATAACATTCTAAAAATTAATACAATTGTATTAAAACTCATGCAATGCAATATTTATCATTTCACAAAAGAAATAAATATGAAAACAATTTTTTTTCATAAATTAATAAGCATTTACTAAATTATTAAAATATATAAACAAACTATGAGGAAATCCTTATTATTTGCCATTTTATAAAGTTCAAATGAATTGGCATTTAGCCAATGTTTTGCCAACCATTTCAATGAACAATCTAATGAATAAATAGTGTTTATTATTTTTGTTGTCAATTCTCAAAAACAAAGAAAATGTATAAATTCACTTTCTTATGTTTAGATTTTATTAAAATTCTAATCACTGCTTTTTAAAACAATAAACATTGCCAAGGAGTGAAGGTAGTTAAAATGATTGTCAATTGCAGTGTCAAGGTAAAAAAAATCAAAGGTCCAAAAATCATTGTTGGTAACCAACTTATTTTCTTCTTGAATTAATACTAAATTATTCCTAATAATAGCTTTATCACTTGATGAATGCATTTGTTTAATAATAATAATAATAATAATAATAATAATAATAATAAATGTATTACAGGTAAGGTGTTAATAAATTTTTTAGAAAAAAAAAACATGATTTGGATATTTTGAGAAAAGTTTTAACTTTTGTTAATGTCCTCCTTAATCTCCTTCAATTTACAGATTCATCTTTTAAGATTTAGATAATCTTTCTTGTTAATCTTATGCCTTTTAAAAACTGATCCAATCAACCACAGTATTCATTTTAATATGTTAATATTACCTTATTGTAGTATGAGATCCCAGCAAATAAATTGTATTAAACCTGTATTTGATTGAATTATAAGTTTGTAATTCGTACCTTTTTATTTTTCTGATTTTTACTTTTCCTGCCTATTTTTTTTTTTTTTTTTGCTTTCAGTATTTGACAGACTGCTTGAATAAGCATTCACAGATTCAGAAAATTCCAATAAGTTTTGTTTCAATATCAGTTAAATTGTGAAATGATACAAAAAATTATTTTTAATTTTTGGAAAAAATTAACTTTTTATGTTTTTTATTTTGCACCAAATTTTTTTTTCTAATTGTAAATTCTAATCTGATAAATAAAAAATTAAAAAAAAATAAAGCTCAGAAGTTGTAATTAACAGGAAATATATTTTGTTCTTTCTTTTTTTCACTCTGTCGTTGGTATTCAATTTTTGTTTTGTAACAGCATGTCTGTTTTTATTCCTTTATTGTAATTTTTATTTATGAAACACGTCATGTTTGCAGTAGAGTTAACAAAGTACATTTCATGAGATGCATCTAATAAGATACATCAAACAAGATACATTTGATAGATAAATTAAACTCAATACATCAAACAAAATGTATTTAACAAGATTCATTCCAAGATACTTATAAGATATATCAAATAAGACACACCTGATGAATACATTGAAAATGCTGTATCTAGCAAAATGCATCTAACAAGATATATTTAACATGATACGTCTGATAAGATTCATTTAACAAGAAACATTTAACATGATACATAAAATGAAATATGTTGAACAAAATATATCTGATAGATGTATTGAACATGACATTTATTACAAAATATATTTCACAAAATGTAGTTATCAAAATACATTTAATAAGATACATCTGCTAAAATGTATTTAACAAGATGCATTTAATAAGAACATTTAACAAAATGCATCTGTCAAAATATATCTGTAAAGACAGCTAAAAATTACATTTGATAAGATACACTTAACAATACGCATCTACCAAGATGTATCCATTAAACAAGAAACATTTAAAAATATGATAAGATACCTTTTAACAAGGCACATCTAACAAAAAAATCTGTATAATATAATTGTAACAAAATACATCTACCAAGATGTATTCATTAAACAAGAAACATTTAAAAATATATCTTTAACAAAAAATATCTGATAAGAAACAACTAAGAAAATACATCAATACATTTCACAAGATGCCTCTATTAAAATACATCTACCAAAATACATCTAAGAATATACATTTAATAAGATGCATCTAACAAGAGATTAATGCATTCAAAAATACCTCATCTATATTCTTGGTCACATTTAAATGTATTTTTGCAGTTAAATTTCACAGAAGGAAAAATATCTGTTGATATAATTTTTTATATTGTACTTCTCAAAAATTGTTTGATTTTTTTTTTTTTTTGATTCCATTAAAATTTCATTAAAAACATCCAAATTTGTTTAAAATGTAAGAATAAGTAACTTATATTTGTATACTTACTATTAATCTATCTATATTATCTATTTGTATACTTACTATGAATCTAAAGTTTTATTTCCACAAGTATCTTTTTTTCTGATTCTTTTTCTATTTTAAAACTTTGAATGAAATCAGCAAAAACTACATTTAAATTCAAAATATGCTTTACTGGTAGATTATTGTGAAATATAAAAAGTAAAGTATAAGGACACACTGTTATTTGCTACTCAATGTTGCTGCAATTATCACTTAATCTGGCTTTCTACACATTTTAGATAGATGTAGAAAGGCTTGAAATAAGTGTGTCTGTCTGTGTGTTGCTTCTATTTTTAATTTTGCAAAAAATCTTGTGAATTATTTTTTGTCTGTGTTTTTTTTATTTTTTGTTTGACATCTTATTTTCTTTCTACAAATCAAATTATTTGAATGACTTATTTATTTCTAGGAATAAGTATTTTTTTAATTCTCCACCTCCTGCACAGACAAATATTTTCAGTTATTGAAATTATGATTCAGTTTCAGAGAGCAAACACTTTTGTTTTTTGTTCTCATTTTTATTTTTTGGGGAGCAAAAGAGGGTCTTTTGATTTTTAAATTTTAAGAAATAATAATAATAATAATAAAATGTGATTAAGAATTTTAAATCTATCAGTTTAAACTTAGTTTCTGCTGAAAATAAATTTGTTTATGTGTATTTAAAATCTTAGTTGCCTTTCAAGAGTTTAAAGAATAAGCAAAAAGGAGAGAATGGAATTTGTTTTAAATAGAAGAACGAAATATATTCATAATTCAGTTATAGCTTACAAATATTTTAACAATTCTTATAATTATCAAGTTACCATTGGACATTACCTTCTTTTGGACATTATAATGTGGGTTTAGGGCAAAATTGTAAAAATTACATAAGTGAAAAATCATGTAATTAATAACTATAATTGTATATAATTTCACTCACTCATTTCACAGAACTACACAGAGGAGTATGGGTCACAGCCCTCATGTCCAATAACTACACTGAGGAGTATGAGGCTGCAGCTCTCTTGTCCTGTAACTACACTAAGGAGTATGGAGCTACAGCTCTCACATCCAATAACCACACTGATGAGTATGGGGCCACAGCTCTCTTGTCCTGTAACTACAATAAGGAGTATGTAGCTACATCTCTCATGTCCTGTAACTATGCTGAAGAGTATGGGGTTACAGCTCTCATGTCTGTAACTTCATTGAGGAATTTAGGGCCACAGCTCTCATGTCCCATAACTACACTCAGGAGTATGTGGCTACAGCACTCTCTGTGTCCATTGAGCACAATGGGGCCACAGCTCTCATATCCCTTAACTACACTCAGGAGTATAGGGTCACAACTCTCATGTCCTGTAACTACTCTAAGGTATAGAACTACAGCTCTCATGTCCCATTATACTGAGGAGTATGAGGTCACAGCTCTTATGTCCTGTAACTACACTGAGGAGTATAGGACCACAGCTCTCATGTCCTGTAACTACACTGAGGAGTATGGGATTACAGCTCTCATGTCTGTATCTTCATTGAGGAGTATAGGGCCACAGCTCTCATGTGCTGTAACTACACTGAGGAGTATGGGATTACAGCTCTCATGTCTGTAACTTCATTGAGGAGTATAGGGCCACAGCTCTCATGTCCTGTAACTACACTGAGGAGTATAGGGCCACAGCTCTCATGTCCTGTAACTACACTGAGGAGTATGGGGTTACAGCTCTCATGTCTGTAACTTCATTGAGGAGTATAGGGCCACAGCTCTCATGTCCTGTAACTTCATTGAGGAGTATAGGGCCACAGCTCTCATGTCCTGTAACTACACTGAGGAGTATGGGATTACAGCTCTCATGTCTGTAACTTCATTGAGGAGTATAGAACCACAGCTCTCATGTGCTGTAACTACACTGAGGGGTATGGGGCTACAGCTCTCATGTCCCATAACACTACTGATGAGTATTATTTGTTCTAAGCCACTAACCATCACACTACCTACACATTTGTTTTAATCATTTGACCCTTGACAAGAATAAATTATGAGTCCCTATAAACATTATATAGCAGATAGTACTGAACACAACATTTTCATTTCAATCTTACATAAATAGAAAAAATAAAGAACATCAATAGATTCATTCGACACACAAAAAAGACTTTTACTTAATGTGAAATTGAACAGAAAGAATTTGTTTATTTACAATAAATTTATATAAAAAGAACAAAAGGTTTGTAAAGCCTTGCTCAAAATATTTTTGGATACTTAATAAAAAAAATTAAGCTAGGTAGAGAAAAATGTTAATTTGAAAGTGAGACTTAATGTTAAAAATTTTACTTAGTAAAGGGATGCTACAAAAAGTTCACACCTTTTGTTAATGTTCTGACCTGAGGTCATTCAAAATAATAGCAAAGTATCTGTTGTTGATGAGAAGTGCCAAATGAAGAATTTTGGTAGCAGCAATGTAACTTTGAAGAAGGCTTAGTTTGCATGTCCTGACTGAATGTAGTTTTGAAAGAACAAATTGTCAGTTTTTAGTTTTGGTTGTTGTCCAGACTTTGGTTTGGCTAGATCATGCATTGTTTCAATGTATAAAACTATTCTTCCTCTTTGTTGAAAATATTAACTTATGTTCCTGTTCCCATTTGTATGACTATTCATTCTGACAAAATATGAATGGACAGTGATTTTCACCAGCCAGCAACCTTGTTTATATTAGGTTGCCAGGTTCACAAAATTCTTTGCAAATTATTGTGGGTTTGAAATTCCATTCTGATTGTTGGAAAAAATAATCCAAAGGAAGAATGTTCCTTTTCAATACTTTTTCCAGAACATTTGATTTTTATTGATCTGAGCTAGACACTGCATCACCATAAACAGGTTCAAATCAAGATTTATCAAGAAAGGTCCCATCTGAATGACTCATTGTTAATAATGTCTTTGTTTTTAGTTAGTGATATATATGATTCAACTGTGATTCAATTCTCTCTCTCTCTCTCTCTATATATATATATATATATATGATTCAACTCTGACCATTAACCTTTTATGTAATATATATATATATATATATATATATAATAATGATGAAAATGAAGTCCTTAGAAATCCATTGGTAATAATTTATTTCACAGAATCAAATGCCCATCTCATCAGACCCAAAAATTTACAATAAATGGATTTAAAATTTATCCAGACACAAGCAAAAAAAGAGAAAACAGAAAAGAAAAGGAAAAAAAGAAAAAAGAAAAGGGGATAGAAGATAGAGAAAAAGAAGAGAATTTCAAAAATACTTTTTTATTACTACTATTATTTTATTAATCATCAAAATTTTTTTGAAATTATAACATTCATGATTCACTGCACGAATAGACATCTTAATGTATTATTTAATATGTTCCTTTTTGAAGATAATTTTTCTCTCTTTTACTTGTCATATCCAGGAGAAAAGGAAGAATATTCTAAGTCAACCCATCTCACTGTTTAACACCTTTCTTTCCTTCTCTTACTCTCTTTACTCTCACCACTCCATGTCTCTCTATATATATATCTCTCCATCTTTCCCTTCTCAATATTTTTTTAAAAACTTTATATTGTAATTACTATCTTCCTATCTTATTTTTGTTACTCTTTTGTTTTCTCTATCCTCTACCCCCTATTTCTTTTTCCTATGTTCCTGTTTGAAGTTTTTCACTCTCTTTTACTTGTTATGTCCAGGTAAAATGCAGAATATCTTGGTCAACCCAGAAGCTGACTACTTAACCTTTTCATTCTCTTTCTTTCCCTCTCTTACTTTCTCTTTCTCCCCACCCCCGTGTTTTTATATATATATATATATATATATATATATATATATTTGGATCATATATATATATATATATATATATATATATATATATATATATATTTGGATCGTATTTACGATTCCAATGGAATAAATTATGACCATGGAATATTAGTGTTTAAGCCTTTTTATTATATCCTTACTCTGTCCTAGACATTGAGTTCTACCTGGATCCTTCCTCTTGGAAAATTTTTTTTTTTTTTTTTTCTGAAAATATACATGTATGGGAATTTTTTATATATATATTTTGCATATGTATGTATATTTTCCACTAATAATATCTATATATATATATATATATATATATATGTGTGTGTGTGTGTGTGTGTGTGTGTGTGTGTGTGTGTGTGTGTGTGTAAATATATGTATATATATAATTATTTATATATTATATGAGGTACTTATTAGAAAGCGCTCAATATCAGAGATAGAGCTAACATATTTAGTTGGATTGATGTGAGTTTGTGACCCTGGGTTTTCGTGAAACCCAGGGTCACAAACTCACATCTATCCAACCAAATATATATATATATATATATCTTCCACCTTAAGAAAATCTCTATCTTTCCCTCTTATTTTTAAAACTCCCTTCTTTTTCTCTATTTTCTACACCCCTTTTTCTCCTTTCTTTTTTCCTTTTTCTTTTTTCCTCTTTTCTCTTTTTTCCTGTTTTCTGTTTTCTCTTTTTTTGCTTGTGTCTGGATAAATTTTAAATCCATTTATTGTTGAAAAATTTTTGGGTCTGATGAGATGGGCATTTGATCCTGTGAAATAAATAATTACTAATGTATTTCTAAGGACTCCGCTTTCATCATTATCTTATTTGCTCTGTTCTTACATTGAGCTCTCTTTAGATTTATATTCTCTTTGGAATTATCCTGACTAATTATCAAATAATATTTATTTATTTATATATATATATATATATATATATATATATATATATATATATATATAACATAAAATGGAATAAAAGAACACTTTTGACAATATTAAAAAATAAAAGGTTCTGTCATTTATTGATGTTAGAAAATAAATGCATAACTGTTTAAATATAGCATGAGAAAAAACACACGCTTGATTTTTCCACTCAGATTATACATGTAGAGTTACCTACTTTAATCATGTCACTCTGCTGCATCAGAAGATATGAATCATTCAGGGATTTTGCCCTTTAATTTTCATCTTAGCTTCTGTAGGATTATCCCATTCTCTCATTTTGCTATATACCTTTATCTTCTTAATAACCATGAAAATTAAATCCTTTACACAGCTTTAAATTACACAGGATCCATACTTTTCTCTCTTTTTTATTATTTATTTTATCAAAATAATCTGCTTGTTGGCTATATTAGTTTTATATTCCATTGATATAAATCATTGGTATTGAGATACATGTACTGCTTTTTACGTAGTCAGGCCCTCCCCATTTACAATATCAGTTCTACATAAACTTCTCACCTACTTCTTCCAGTCATTTCTCAATGTTCTGAGCTATACTAAACAAATAAATATTTATATTTACTTTGCTAAAAAGAAATTTAACCTTTTTGTTTCCTTTTTATCCTTAAATCAAAGAATTACCTTTCACTTTAATGAGAATAATTTTTTTTTTTTTTTTTTGTGTTTTCTCTTCATCATATAATTGTACAAATTAATAGACAAAATTTTTCAGTTCAAAAAAATATAAAAATTTCTTAGAAATAAAAAAAATATGAATTTTCATTCAAAACTTATTTACAATTGGAGATTGTGCCTTTCCGTTGTACATTCAATGGGAAAAAAGGAATTGTCTATTTTCAGAAACAGGCAAGAATATATAAAAATAATACCTTCAAAGCCCTGTATGCATTCCTGCATAATCTTGCCAATTATTTAATAATGGAAAAAAACGAGTAAAGGGGAAAGAGTGTAATTCTACCGAAAACATTGTGCATTTGTATTTTTGGATAAATATTGTAAAAGATTGTTCATGTCGTGTTATGCTAGAAATGACCTAACTAGAAATGAACTTACTAGAAATGAAATGACAATACAATTATTTGTTGTCAGTTCTGGAAATGAAAATTCCATTGACTCAAAGAATCAGCAATGCTTGTAAATACTTAAATAATTTAATTGTCATAGCTTTTAATTATATTCAAAGTGTACATTTGTAGATTTTGACTTTTATCTTAGATATTAGTATTTTCTTGAATATGTAATATATTGTTTGCTTGGTAATATTGATAAGTTTCTGTCACTGTGACCATATCTATCCAATGAGAACAAAGCTTTATATAAAAAATTTTTGAGAAAATTATTAATTTCAGGTAACTCTTCCTTATTTAGTTTTTTCAAAAATATTGTAAATAAATGTCCAAATATATATATATATATATATATATATATATATAATGTATAATACTTTGCTTAATTGCAATGTATAATATAATATAAATTTTCTTTGATTTACCATATTTTTTAAAAATTAGAATGTGTCTAAGTTAATTGTTATAAATATATAAAAGAGATCTTTCTTGAAAATTTAAATATTTATTAATTTTATTTCTTATCTATGATTTCAGATTGATTCTATAAATTCTTTCACTAAATCTTAAAAATTACCTAAACAAGTGATATTAGTCTTTATTGATAATAATTATTACTATCATTATTAATAATATTTGCATTGAATTGTAACCTTATTAATATATTATATATTAATAGTATAACAAAATTTCACTCATTTATTTTTGGAAATTCATTAATGTTTTTAAAACTTCTGAATT